CCCCCGCAATGACCCTTACCCTACTCTCGCCCTGACCCTCGCTTAATCTTTGGAGTCGCTACAGCCCCAGCTCATTGACTACAAGTCCATGTTTATTAGACATTATCCTTCAATCCATCCAAGGCATATAGGGTAGTCCATTCGCGTGCTTGATTCCAGTACTCATTGGGATTGTCGCGGTACACTCCAGCCTTGACAACATCAAGTGGATCATGTGGGTTTGGATTGGAGAGCAGTGATGATATGGACAACATTAACTTGTGGACGGAGAGTGCAGGTGACCATTGATCCTTGAGTACATCCAAACATATAAGTCCATCACTACTTATATTACAATGATATACCTTGGTCTCGAATCTAACTCTTGGTGGCTTGAATGGGTAGCCAGTTGGGAACACTACTGTCACCATGAAGTAGCCCTTCTCATAAGCAGTGCCTATAGGTCCCTTCATCAATATCTTCCAAGAACTAATATCATTCTCATTGACAAAGATGTTGAAGATGTCTGTATCCATATCTTGTTTGAATGAGTTGTACTCCTTAAGTATGCGCTTGGATGTTGACGATGGTGATGCTGCATTGTCCACGGCCAAAGCTGTTGCGCTGTTGATCTGACTCAAGTACTTGCCTGCCACACTACCAACATCAACCTTGCGCTCGATTGATGTTACCATTGTCGCAGAGAGTGATTCGAATGCATTGCGATCATTGATGCTCAATGAGAAAGGTTTGAAGTTGTCGCGTGCTGCAAGATTGAGTAGTGCTTCTCGTTCAAATAATGCGACTCCCTCAACTGAGGAGTTGGCGACGAAACACGTGCCTCCAGTGGCCTTGGTGAATGAGCCTAGTTTGTCAGCACCCTCACCAATGGGTATAGCATCCAATACAATGTTCTGTTGTTTGAGGTATTGATACACAGTGTAGGGGTCCACGCCACTGTTGTCCTGGCCATCAGTCAGAGCAAACACACGGCAGTTGAGTTGATCTCTTTGTGCCAGCTTGACACCTCCACGCTTCTCCTCTGGTGTTTCGATGAATGAAACAATCGACTCTGCTGCCAACCTGATTGCATCGTATAGTCTTGTCTGTGATTGATTGGCGACGACTTCGCCTAGCTCCATTGAGAAAGTATCAAAGTTACGAGTTGGTGTGAATGTCAGCTCTACTCGCTGACCAAAGCACACTAGTCCAACACAAGCAGGCACCTCTTGTTGGACAAACTTGTCGGTGAATGTCTGGAACAATGCTTGTGCCACCTCTATCCTAGTCATCTCCAACTCGCCCGGTTTGGCCGAGCCCATGAACGCCGAGACCTTCATTGAAGCACTCAGATCCAACACAATGATGTCAATCTGTTTGATCAAACACTCTTCAACTTCCAAGTTGGTAAGATCAGCTCCAGAAGTTGAGGATGTTGAAGTTGTGGTTGATGTAATGGTGTTGGCAGGTTTGAGGACTAGTTGATTATTGTCGTTGATTCCAAGGTTGATCAGTGTGTCTTCCAAGACATTGAGTTGGATGTCATTGTGTTCGAGTATATATTCATCATCAGAGGGTAAGTTGGAACGTTTAACAATCTCCTTTATCAACTCTATTACAGTATATTCCTTCTTATAAGGTACATTTATCTTCTTATTTTGAAGTACAGTTATAATTATTGAAAGTGGCATTATTTAAATATGGGATAGGATGTGGAATAATATAATTAATTATTATTATTTGTTTTATTTTATGTGATGTAAGTATGATCATTCTGGAGGAACTAGGACATAACCTATAAATAAATATTGATTGATCATCATTGACATATGAACTATTCAGTGACAAGATATGAATCATCAAAGTGTGTGAGTGATTCATCGTGAATCACTTCTAAAAATGGAAATATGATTGATCAAGTGGTAAACATTAATTAATAAAATAACACACACATAAAGAAGGATGTTTTGAATATTACATTCATTGTATTGACCAATCAATTCAATGGTGGTTTACTTATTTAACTTGCAGCGTGTCGTATGGAGGCCTCTCGCGTGGCTGTGTGGAAGCTACTGCCGCCAGTGACTCGAGGTTGAAGAAATCAAATGAACGGCTCTTGAGCTTCTCTATGGTTGACATTGTGCTATTGTTGTTGTTGTTGTTGCTGTTGGTTGGTGGCGAGTTGCGTGTCGGTGAGGAAAATGGCGAGGACAATGCTGGCGAGATGTTCAGTGGCGAGGTGGAAGTCGATGAGTTGGCACTGGGTGCGTTGCTCAATTTGTTGTTGTTGTTGTTGTTGTTTCCAAAGGCACCCTGGGCAAACATGTTGGATGCTGATGGCAGGAGCAATGAGGACGCCTTTGGCAAACCTTGGAAGGCCGACGAGGGTCCGTTGTCATCGTCGCTGCTGGCATCACTGATGTTGGGCGCGGCAGAGTTGAGTCTGTATGATGGCAGGATGGACTCGCCATAGTTGCGCACCTTCTTGCTCAACGGCTCGTCGCAGCTGAGCACAGGGTAGGCACTGAGAGAGAAAGGTCTGTACACTCCACCACAGGTATTGTTGCTGCTGCCACTGC